TTGATTTGAAATTGCTAAATTAGTCCAAGTTTATTTAAATTGACCAATATTAAATAATTTCTAGTTCGGTAATAAGGGAGGTGCAGGAGAAGAGACCACACGCAGAATTACCAAGACCTATCCTTCTACACTTCCTAGTGTTACCAAAGCGATGCCTGGTTTTGTTTTCCCGCAATCTTGATTTGAAATTGCTAAATTAGTCCAAGTTTATTTAAATTGACCAATATTAAATAATTTCTAGTTCGGTAATAAGGGAGGTGCAGAAGAAGAGACCACGCGCAACAGTACCAGGACCTATCCCTCTAGACTTCGTAGTTTTACTAAAGCCATGCCTGGTTTTGTTTTCCCGCAATCTTAATTCGAAGTTGCTAAATTAATCCTAGCTTATTTAAATTGACCAACATTCAAAAATTTCTAGTTCGGTAATAAGGGAGGTGCAGGAGAAGAGACCACACGCAGAATTACCAAGACCTATCCCTCTACACTTCCTAGTGTTACGAAAGCGATGCCTTGTTTTGTTTTCCCGCAATCTTGATTTGAAATTGCTAAATTAGTCCAAGTTTATTTAAATTGACCAATATTCAATAATTTCTAGTTCGGTAATAAGGGAGGTGCAGAAGAAGAGACCACACGCAACAGTACCAAGACCTATCCCTCTACAGTTCCTAGTTTTACCAAAGCGATGCCTGGTTTTTTTCCCGCAATCTGGACTTGTAATTGCTAATCTAAATAAGGCTTAATGAAACTGATCCATGTTCAATAATTTCTGGTTTCGTAATAGCAGAGGTGAAGGAGAAAAGATCCTGCGCAATATTACACAGACCGGTGCCTGCACGTTTCCTAATTGTACCACAGCGATGTCTGGTTTTGTTTTCCCGCAATCTTGACATGTACATAAGTAGTTTAAGTAGTTGCCAACTTGATCTAACCTTAAACAATTCAACATATGTTGGGTGTCTTCTGGTTCGCTAATTAATTTGCGCAGGATGAGAAATCACTCGAAGTGCTAGCCACCCCAATAGATGTATAGTTATGTACTTCTCCATAGGGATGTATGGTTTCCTCTCAAGATATAGCGCATGTTATGCGCATGGGAGCAGTTAGACTGAAATCATGTAGACGCAATTTCATGTTGTAAAGTCGTGATTACTCTAAATTTATTATAACAATTTCATTTTACATACCAGGTTGTCAGTGCTTTTTTCGGAAATTTATGTCGCAGTTTATTATTAGGTACAGGGTGTTAATAAAGTCCGATCCCATTTTTCCTGTAAAAAAGTGAAGGCTAGTATAAAAAAAAACTACCCGTGATACTTACAAAAAATGTTCGACATATTTACCTTAGTATTTGGTCTTGTTACCATTTACTTTAACCATGCCCTCAACTCTTTGTTTAAGGCTCTGTGCTAATTTTTCCAATGTGCCTCTGGAAATCGAATTCCATACATCTTGAACTTTTTTTTACTACCTCTTCCCTCGTTCGGGGTTGTGGCTCTTTGTATACATTTTCCTTAAGTATGGACCACTGGTTCTTCAGGGGATTCAAATCTGGGCCGTTAGCGGCCCACACCCCCTTGCTCCAGACCGTTGAAACTTGCGTCTTGATGAGACTCAAACTCGCTTTTGCTGTATGGGCTGTAGCACCATCCTGCATGAAAACTATTTTTCTTTCATTAGGAAATATTTCCTTGTTCCCCATGCTATCGAAATAGATAGGTAATATTTTTTCCATATAATGCTTTGCATTGACTGATTTGCCTTTTGGTATGATATGTAGAGGGGTCACGCAACGTGCACAAAATCCACCCGCTACCATAACTTTAAGCCCGAATTTTGGGATCGCTCTTGATGGTACATCCGATTTGTTTTCTGTCCTGTAACGAACATTTTGTTGGTTCAATTTTGGATATAGTTCAATAATAGATTCGTCAGTCCAAAGGATGTGACTGCGCAATTCTTCACCAAGTCTTTTTTCACTCAAATGGGCACTTTTCTGAAGGAGTTCTTCAAATTTCAGACGGTCATCGATATATTTTTGTGACATGAGAGGTTTTTTTGGTTAGTTTGTAAGCTGTGTGACCCCACTTCGTAGTTTTCACAAATTTTTGCACGGTCACACAGTTAATTTGCTTCTTCTTCTCTTTATAGCGTTTTGAGTCATTTAACTCCCTTGCTCAATTACGTAATGAACTACCGGTTTTCTTGCAAAGTCTGTTTTTAATCATTCTTTTTGTGGTAGGTGACACCTTTCTGGGTCGCCCTGGTCGCTTTTTGTCGTGGACAAAATTTTTATTCTTCCATTTCCAAACAGTTCTGCGGCTGCAGCCCAATTTTTGCACAATTTCTGTAGGTTTAAGCCCCTGCTGATGCAATGTTTGTATCTCAACTCTAAGATGCTCATGACTTACACGTTTAGTTGTTCCTCCCATGGTAAAAATTCGAAATAAATAACTTCACTGGTTCAAAAGTTCCAGCTGAATTTGTAACAACCACGCTCCAAAAAATGCATGGGATCGGACTTTATTAACACCCTTTATAACTTGGTGTAGAAATTTCATGGTAACCCTAACTGGGTTGGATTATATGGTTTTCCAACTATTGTGTGTGATTTTGTCATCATTCTGTACAATTTGAAGTAAAAATCTCATTTCACCCCACCTAATATAGTGGTCACCTCAAATATCAATTTTTTGTGGTTATCTAGTCATCCTGTACAATTTGTGGTAAAAATCTCATTTTACCCCTTTGGGGGGTGTGGTCATAATGGGCACACCCCTTTTGATATTAATAACATGATGGGGGTCACTTCGGAGTACTTTTGGTTATTTTAGTATTAGGCACCAAATACGGTAGCATAAAGCACTTAGCTGCAACTTTTAGATTAGCTAACTTCACACAAATCGAAATAGAGTAGGTGTTGAGAGAAAGTAGAGTACAGAACCAGATTGTTCATTGAGCTTTTCTCAATTAAACCATTACTTATTTCAGACGCGTTCACATTTGACGGTGCGTACTTATTCATTATTCGATATCACATCTCACCTAAGTATACATAACATCTTCCGCAGAACAAACTTGATTTAAAAAATGGCATCCAATTCTAGAGGTAATTCATAAAAAGATAAGTAAAATAGAAGGATTTATAATTTCATTTTTCATAAAATGTACCACCAACCACAAAGCATACAATGCCAAAAAATGGAAATGTAAGCGAAAAAAAAAAGTGGGAGAGAAATAGATTGGCGAGAACAAGTACATTTCTATGATATTTGGGAATAATATTAGTCATATTATCTATAGTCAGGAATTGTCGTTGATCTCAAAAATGAGAACATTGTGGAGAAAAATTAGATTTCTACATATATCATTTGCTGTCTCCACTATTGGACAAGTTATGAGGTAAAACCGCTGGAAAGCGATTTTACCTATCTATTTTTTAACACTTCATAAAATAATTCAAGACTTACAAATGATCCAACCTAACCTAACCGACCCCCTTCAAATTAACATTAACTGTGATGATTCCATACTATACGATTCACATATACTTCCATGCAGCATGAAAGTAAATGGAAAAAAATAGAAAAATGATTCTAACCAAACTATTATTCGCAGAAGGAGTTCTTCGTGAGGCAAGAATTATTTTGCCACGCCAAGACAACAATGGCGTTCCATTAATACCAGTGAAGAATGTGCTGGAGAAAAAATTGCTGACTAGCTTTGGAGGCTTCACCCGTTTAGAAGGTATGGGTGGATGGGAGTCTAACAGAGTTATGCATACGCGACGACTATACCAGGAGTACGTTTGGATCTATGACATCGTAGTGTCGCTAGATTGGATGGCAAGTATTAAACTAAAACGAATTGGACTCTGGCTTAAGAAGGTGGCCAATCAAGAATCGATTTACTTGAGATTACCTAGTGGAGAAATTGAATTCTTGTAAACTGAAAAAATTAAACTTAAGGTATGCTAAATAAATAATTATGTCGAAAATTATTTAATTATTTAAATAAATTCAGGTACTTTAATTCTATTTTATTTACTTTACAGAAAAAAAACTGCACTTCATATGTAAATCAATTATTTAACTGTGCTTGATCAGCCATAATGGTATTTCAATTTTCAATTATGACAATTTGACAATTTACGATAAAATCTAGACATCAAAAAGTCCATTTATATACATATAGTAGATCAAAGTTGTAATAAATTCTGGTGAGAATGATATTGGGTTTGGGATAATTTAATTTTTGTAAATATAATATATATTACATCGCAAGTTCTGAATTACATATACATTTTTGCAATTCTTCAAATAGCCTAAGAATAGTTATGAGATCTGAATAGGTATGAATTTGAAACATCCAGTCCATGAAAACTATTTTATTGTTGCATATTTTATAATCCTTCTAATGATAAGTGTTTATAACTCGTAAGTAGTTTACCTGTAATTAGTGAATTTTAGGGAAATCAATAATTGCAGTCTGGAAACATGATGAGGTTATATTTTAGCACAATTATCTTACCATGCTGCACTTATGTATCGGAATGTGACAAAATATTTTAATCTTGGAAGTTCCATATTGGATCGTAGTAACCAATGAGAACAAATGAGGCAATATCGTATAGAGATGAAAATAATCTCCCAAACTGTAAATACATTAATACCAAGATATTTAGATAAGCTTATAATGTTTCCATATCTATGAATGGGTTAGTATTTATCATCACTACATGCGATATGTATAACGTTTGGATCTGACCTTCAACTTGTAAGTTCATTTTCTGCATGTAGTAATTTCAAAGCTGGAATCTTTGGTGTTATTCGTGCTGTTTAAACCTATACATATTTATTTATGTATAGTCACGTCAGGATTAAATCTGCTTGGATGAAAATTATCTTTCGGTCTTCTGAGGCTACACGAGCCAGTCAGATAAATCCAAATAAACCCGTCCACTCCTGTTCACTTGTTGCGTAAATTTAATAAAGGCTACATAAATGGAGACCAAAGGATACACTGAAGATTTCCAGGGCAAACGGGTCCTTGTCACTGGTGGTTCTAGAGGTAATAATAATAACCTTAAAAATAGTAAGCTTGTAAAGTGCAATATTTAAAATTATTTATAAACTTTTTTAAACAAAACAATTGGAATTTATTTCAGAAACTTTTAATCATAAATTATGTACCAGTGCTTCTGCGGGTCTCCCAAGAATCTATGCATACGTTTCTATGCTAAAAGTCATGTCGGAAATTAGCCTGCACATGGTGTTTCTCTAATACAAAAACAAAAACAGAACTTGCAAATATCTAAAATTCCCAGCTGTTTTTAAAAATCTGACGGTAGCACGCCACAGCGTCAATTTCTCGAAGAATTGTAAAGAGAACAAATTTCTTATTTTTCAACATTCTATTAAAGAAATATAATGTGCAGGCTAGTTTCGACATAGCTTTTACATGTGGAGGGAATCATTGGCAGCTGGGAAACCCCAGAAAGCCTTGTTGTGTACTATAAATTTCAATCACATACGAAATTAGTTAACGTATTGGGGCACCATCTTCTCGACGTCTTACATCGTCTTAAATCGTTAATCTTAAGTGAATATATATCATTGTATATCCATTGAATTGAATTCAATGAATTCATTGAATTGTATATCCTACTACAGGAATTGGGCGCGGAATAGCAGAGGCACTTCTCTCCTACGGCGCAGAAGTAACGATAGTTGGCAAAAATCCTTCAAACATTGCTTCGTTCTCCGATGCCCATCCCACAGCGAAAAGTATCTGTGTCGACCTGGCCGATTGGGAAGCCACAACTGTAGCGCTGACCAAGTCCTGCTCAGATAAGCACTTCCACTTCCTCGTCAACTCTGCTGGAGTCTTCACCCCGGATTTTTTTATGACCACGACTCCTGCCAATTTTCAAACCACCTTTGCCACCAATGTTGGCGCTATCTTCTCCGTTTCACAGTTCGTGGCTAAGGGAATGATCGAGGCGGGAGGGGGCGGTGGGATCGTTAATATTTCTTCAATCGCGTCCTCCACCTTCTTCCCATTTGTGTCAGTTTACGCGGCCTCTAAAGCGGCGGTGGATCGGGTCACGAAGGCCATGGCGGTGGAACTTGGTCCACATGGGATTCGTGCCAATTCCATAAATTGCGGTACGGTTAACACTGACATGGGGAGGAGTGATGGGGAATTCTATGCCAAGAATTGGGGCAATGCTGGTCTACAGAGGATGATAAGTAGGACCCCACTTCCAGGTGTTTGTCCAGAGGGTAATTTTATGATGGGGATGGATCAAGTGGTCGAAAGCGTACTTTTCCTACTTTCTCCAAGAACAGCGGGGGCCACGACGGGGCAACAGCTCTTTGTGGATAATGGATACTCTGTGGGGTAAAATCAGGTCGGGCTATGAAGTTTATTTAGCTGAACAAATAAATACTTGATATTTTTGATCCTAGAGAATACAGATGTATATATTGTTCTGAAATTATCACATAAAATCGAAAGTTATATTCCACAAACAAATTTAATAAATTGTTTTAAATTTTCCTATAACTATTAATATAAAAAAATAAATTTAAAACAATTTCATATCAGATACGTAGCTTGATTAAACACTTCAACCTGATTATCATAATTAGTAGCTTCTTTTATTAAACTTACACATATGCACTTATTATATCCTGTCCATTATACAGATAACGGCATGTGTTATTTACAAGTTATTTGCATTGTTATCGACAATCTTCAATATTATTTTGTATTATTCTGTATAGCTAACTATTTCTTGTGAAATCTTTTGAAAAACGGTTTAAACCTAGACCACAAAATTTCAACAGTAAAGTGCAGGCTGGAAATTAAATGGCATCCAACCAAAAAGTAGAACGCTCCTGAAATATGTTTTAGGGTAAGATTAACATCCGTTTCCTTCACGGAAGTTTTCAGCTTGTCCATCTGGCCGGTCTCCAGCCACCAGGCACGTTTAGGCAGGCGGAGATTGTAATACAAGTCATGCACGTTCCAAAGATGGGGCAAATGGAAGGGACGCGTCCAACTCATCCAACGCTCGAAACCTTCCTTATAGATAGAACCAGGTTCGAGGATAAGACCGATGAAAACCTGAAAAAATCAATTCCATACTTTTACTTTGAAATAAAAGTCATATTTAAATTCGACCAAAAAATTAGTTGGGTACTCTATTCAGTTTAGGATATATACATATGAATATTCAGTTAGTCAGGTATTCGCTATTGCTTTAGTGCAGTTAAACTGAAGCTATGCGAGTGTGTACTTACATACTTTTTTCAAAATAAATTATTCTATCACTCTAAAGAAGTTATGAAACATGTACTTCGTATATATTGTAAGTTTACCTCGGGAACTGAATTTATCTCATGTGTTGCTTAGATTAGAATTTCGCGTAACTTTAACTAAATTTGTGTTATTATAAGGTGTAGTAAAAAAAAAGTTGCAACAAAACCAAATCTCAATAAACGCTAATACACAACTGTGGGGCAAAGGAATCTTAAAATTTTTTCAATAATTTGTCGTCCAAATCTCAACTTACGTTAAACACCGTTTCTGGAGCATACACCAATTTCCTTATGTCGGAATCCGATAAATTAGCCGCTCTTAGATAAGCGTCCGACCCCAAATATAAGATGCACGCGGATTTATCGGTCTTGGCCACTCTTTCCAAACAATCTAACCCAGAACCAGTTATGATCTCCATGTTTTTCACTAATTTCACATACACCGGATTTGTTGATGCTTTCAGGGTATTGTACGCAGCATTGCCATGGAAAGGAAATCCTACTTGATACTCGGAGTCGACCAATTCTTTAAACGTTTCGGGAACTTGTTCCAATGTGGGAAATGCTAAAAGTCCAACCATCTTTGATCTGTAGATTAGACAAAAATGAAAAAAGATCGTTAAACATTGAAGAATATTTCAATGTTTAATGATCTGGTTTCAATATATTCGCTTATTAGTTAAAATAATCTTTGTAAGGTACCAAGATTGTTGTGATCTATTGTAACAACAATATTTCCAAAGCCGGTAGCTTACTAATTGCGGTAAACTTGCTCAGGTCAAAGGTTTAATGACCAACGACTAGCTTACACGTTGTCTGAGTGTTTGTTTAAATTACATCTTAAATTTTCGAAAGATGAAAATCGTCATAATATGCATCATCATACAGGTAAAATCTTAAATATATTCCCCACGCACCTTTGTAGTAAAGTAAAAATATCCAAAAACATTTATGCGTATCCAGACTTACTTATAAATTGTCGTGATTACAATTCCAAAACAGAACCACAGTCCTATAAAACATCTCAAAGGAGTAAACTTTGGAATACCCGGTGCAAAACCTTGATCTAGATAACTCGTTAGAATAAAACCAATTTGCCGCTGGATCGTCCAAGAATCAGTTCCATGGATTCGTTTCATCCACTCAGAAATCATTTTGAAAGTAAGAAACGCCACCAACGTAGATATACCGAGACATATCCACATAACCTCGTCGAACGGCTTGAGAAAGGCAAACAGCGAAAAAATCTGCGTGCCATGTCCCTTTACCAAGACTAAGTAGCTTACGTCCATAAATGAGCTGGTGAACGACACCGCTTGAACTAAAAAAAAGTAAAAATCAATAATTTATAGATACGTTTTCCAATTAAAGATTTGATGAAATCTCGTCTTCAACTCACTTCTATCTGGTGTATGCGCCGTTGTTATCCCCACATCAGCCTTGCCCGAGAGTACATCCCCCACAGTGCCTAATAAAATAGAAGGATATCTATCTTATCTTTACATACCCATGTCAACAGGATATTTATTTGCTCTCAAATATTTTCATACCGATCCACGTCCCATTCGGCAACTTTAAACCGGATCCTCTCCCCGTCGACATGAATGCATTGTACGTGCAGTTGAACTTGGGAACGAGATGTTCGTTAAGGTAGCCCTTCCAAACGCCTCGTTTCGCATTGTTCACTCCGGTGTACGGGGGATCGGCATAAATTAACGATTCCACATCACAAAAGGAAACCCGAACTAGTTTTCCGCGTAGATTTGTTACATAATCAGGAAAGTAATCGGGCTGTGAGGGCAGGTGGGTAACAATTTGTGGTCGTCCATCGTCACAGAAGAAGCAGACCGATTTTATAACTAAATTTCTTGATGTGGATGATTCGAATGATATTCCCAACTTGTATTTCGTGTGTGCTGGAAGAATTTGGGATAATAGGAGAGGTTCTAGCTGTGAGGGCTGAGAAGTTATCCAAATCCAGGGGTCGATATGATTTGCAATGATTGGAAGATAAGGACCAGTGAAAGTTCTAAACGATAGTTAAAATGCACGTTAGCTACATATGTAACGCAGGATAACGTCGTACTAATTCTAAAAAGACATAAGTGCACTCGATATTGAATTTTTAAAAGACGCACGTGCAACCTATTTGTATGTAATTTTTGTGCTGTTACGTGTTTCTAAAATTAAACATTTAGTGTACTTATGTCTATTTGGAGTTAGTACGACGATAAGGCTTTTCCCTTTTCCTACCCGTACTAACTTGCTTTACCTATACATAATTAAACTACGTTTGCCAAGTAGACAAATTATTTACTTACTTTTTAATTCCCTCTAAAAATCCAAATTTTACTTCATGCACTAGAACAAGTACAAGTTTACAGGAATCTCCTCTCCGGCTGTAGAGCCGGCCTTGTTTTTCAGTGAATCTATTTCTAACATTATTCAAACTTCTTGAATCAAAATATAAATTAAAATATGGGACAACGTCCGTTACTCGATTTACTACGGCACTGATCACAAATTCTTCTAAGGTATTTACTTGGCTAGCTGCTTGCCTTATGAAAAACGGGGTACAATCCACATGTCTCTGCAAGGTGATAATATACTCTAAAAATCTAGCCAGTTCTGGCACTTGACATAACTCGATTCCAGAGACAAATGTTGTCAAAACATTTAAACATACACTCAAAATCCAAAATATATTCATCGTTTCAATCAAAAATTACAATGCATATAGCTTCACAATTAGAAAACTCATTTTATAATAACGTTCCAGCCCACAACAACTTGTAAAAATTGATCATTACTGTTTTGAATGATAAAGATTGCCCGCCGCGTATGTTAGCAGTTTATGGAAAAATGCGTATTATAATTTCACCGAAATTCAAATTTATTACCATAATTAAGCAAGACAATGTAACAAACTCGCTAAAATCATGATATGCATTTTTACGACAAATTTTAACCTACTTGTTGGACTAGTATTGTTATTCAAAACAGTAACGATCTATGTATTACCACCGTTTTTAACTGTAGTCCCTCAAATTTTCTTAAATTCTTACTAAGGTCCAGTCATGTTTATAACTCGAATTCCAAAATGAAATAAAGAGCAAAGATATTTTAATATCAGTTTATCTCAAACCGACTTTGTATTAATCGATCTAGACAACGTATGCTGTAATAAGGAAAAAATGTTAATGGGATTTCTGTCAAAATTTTGTTATCTTTTCTTCCTTTATTACTGTTCTAAATATATAATGTGAACGTTACAAAACTTTACCAATTATATCTACCAATATAGAACTAGGGGTATGCAATTGCCCACGGCCTTATGCGAAATAAAGTATCTATCAATCTGTCAATCTACTGTATAGCTGGTGGTCGAAGCTTTGGGAATTGCTGGCATCTTTTCCAGATGCCATAGGTGAGAGCACATACAAAGAAAATCAATTAAGCAACAATGTTCGCCAAATGGGTAGCGAGCAAAGATCAAGTAAACACGATAAAGCTGTATTACAGTTTTAGCTTTATGCAATCGATATGTATGTCCAGACAGGTAACGTTGACTTTCTAAATTAATGGGATATTTACCTTGTGTAAATGGAAAATATTGACGTGCATATATGTCTGATTTGTCTCGTCATTTGTCACGAAAGCTGCATTGGAAATTTTCCTAGTTTGGGTTTTAATGAACGCTATATGTATGTGTATCTAAAGCAATTATGTCTAACCAAAAAAATAATTAGGCTAACCAGGAAATTAACAGCGGTTACAATTACATTGAGAAACCAAAACATGGCACACAAATTAACGAAATTATAAGGATTCTAGAATTTTGAGTGGTTGGGTGGGGGGTGGTAAGAATTTTGTAACGTATGTATGGTGTACATATCTGTGCTAAAATTATTCGTGAACTATTTAGTTCTATAATGTTTTAAAATTACTAATTAATAATTACTCATAGTCAGTCAGTTACCATTGGAAATTTATGGGGCTGCGGAATTACCAAAAAAATCCATCTTGAATCACCCCTGTATTGCATTTCGTTTTCAACGGCTTATTACACATGTTAAGTTTATGAACGTTTTCACAATTTGCTGATGCCTGGAAGACACACAGTATTGCAATTAATCAGTAGCCTGTGATATTCATCATAAATTCATATCATATAACTCTATCGGGTTGGTACTTATTGAATTGCAATATCATGCTGGTATTAGAATAATACTATGTGGTAATAATTTTAATACTAATCGGTATTAGATTTTTAACCGTGTAGTATTAATCTAATACCAGCTAAATACAACGCTGTAGGGTCATATGTACAGATATACAATTTATTGTTAATTTGTTTAAGAGTGTTACTTCACATACAATTTAATCCATCCATTTCAGGCATCTTACATCATAAACTATAACCAACTTAAAATCAAAACCGAAACCTGCTTAATTTACTCTAAATTTAATTCCAACCAAATATATCAACGGTGTTGATATGCCACATTTTGTTCAACCTACTTTAGTATTATGTCCGATATAATAAATACTCTCAATAATTTTTGGAAAAGAGTGTCCACCGCGGAGTCTCTATTCCACTTTACCGTGACAGTAACAATTTGCCATCTGAAAACAGTTAATTGTCTCCCGCTCGGTGATATTTCATCACCCTGAGGTATCAAATATAAACGCTCTGGAAATAAAGATATCACCCACCAGGAGACAATTTACTATTTTCGATTGGTAAATGTTACTGCACTGCAAATAATATCGTCACCAGATTTACACCAAGGAGCGTAACTTTGCAGCTACACCGTTTTGATGTCAAATCAACACTGTTGGTGTAGAAATGATTCTACACCAAATGGTGTGGATTTACTCCATGTCATGACATGATTTTTTCTGTAGGAAATATAAGTAAGAAATTTGTTTTAACGTACTATTCATCTTCTAAGAACACATCAGAATTATTCTACACTTTAAATACATACATAGTTACTACCTAGATTTGATAAGTACAGATCTTGTCACACTCACAGAAATTGGATGTTGATTATCACCAGATTTAGACGTATATGACTCTACCGGATTGGCGATAAAGTGCATTGATACTGGTGATAAATTCGCCACCGATGTTGAAATATATGTCGCATTCTATACCTTGACTTAAAAATTATTGATACCATGCGTGGGAATTGGGAATAACTGCGTAGCGTAGCGTAGTGCATGCATGCATATTTTTTTTTAAAAATATGTAGAGAAAACCTTTACTTTATTCTTGGTTCGAAAGTCATACAGAATATTGAATTGTTCTATTTTATAAATTTATAACTCTTCAGGGTCCATTCACCAATTGCATTATACAAATATCACACCAGTATTTTCAACCTTAAGGATATCTCGAAACACAATGGCGGTCAATGTAAATAAGTATGACACAATTTGCGAATTCTCACATCACCTTTAGTCTATTTATAAATATTACTTGTCCTGCCTCATATCAAATGATATGTTGACACGAATTGCATATTAATACACTCGTGAGTTACAATAACTCGGTAGAAAATATATATTTAATGATATGTTTGACACGTAAGCTGAAAAAGAAATGCCACCTTGAAAGGGAACAACAATGTGTTCTATAAGCTGAAAAAGCTCATAAGTTATACATATTAGGCAAAGCTGCAAAGTCAAATCCTCGCAAAATCGAATAAGTATGTACAACTACAATTTTAAAAGTACTTACAAAACTGTAGTTTCGTATTGCAGTATCCATTTTCTACATAATGGCAGTGGAATAAGAAATTATGTCTTAAATAAATATATACAGTATTTTTTTCAAATGCGACCATTCAACTTATTTCTTATTCTACTCTCACTTGAATATCTTGAAGGGAGTGAAATTCAGCTTCATAATTTGCTCAATACATTCCACCCTCTAGTTTGTAGACTGCTAATAATGCATGATGGTCTGGTGTCGGAAAATCTGGGAAATACTGGCGGTCTCTTACTCACTATATTCAATTTAGGTAAAAAACGAAAAAAACGAGTTACACATCAAAAACCTTTTTAAGGTTAAGAGATGGATTTGTGATTACGTAATTGTATACGTGAATCAACCCATGAGTAGTTCTCAGCCGGAATATTCCTGGTGGAATTCAAACCCAAAGTTCTTTACCGACTACATGCATATCGTTCATCAGATGTTCTCGCCCCCAAAGTCTAATAGTTTTTTAAGCAAGATAAATGTGCAAACTGTCGGGAATGAGTGGCCCAATAACTACTTCGTTTTAATATCAAATTCAACCAATAAAGTTTTCCTAGATAAAGACAAACTGACTTCGTTTTGTCCTTTCTATGTGCAGAAGTTATCCGTTATATTTTTTGAGTAGACTAAACTTTGGGAAAACGCTGAATTATGTGTGCTGTGGGAAATTGGTATTTCGAAAATAAAATGTCAGTCATTTCAAAACATTTCAAAACATCAAAGTATACAAAAGTCGGAAAATATATTCCTAAACCCTGACAAACAGTTGGGAAATTTTGACAGAAATTGGAGAATATGTAACCGCTTAGCTCTCAACGTACTCGACAGTTTGCCTCAACCGTACCTAGGAAAAGGGACAAATTTCGAGGCGTTCTATGTGGAACAATACTTAATTAATGAAGCCGTCAAGAAAGCAAATGGCACGATAATTTTCACGGATCATGGTAATTCATTTTTTCCAGAATTTTACATCGATTCTACGATTCACGATGATACAGTATTTCCCACGCGATATATGTTTAAAAAGAGGGAAGGGATGACATTTCTTTCATGCTATAGAGTGCCCCAAATAAACTTCCTTTTATATTTTGCGCCATTTTCAACACCAGTATGGATTACGTTAATTTTATCAATTATACTTGGAGGTTTAGTTCTAGGATTGATTACTAAGTATAAAGGATTGCCAATACACTTACTTTCTAGCGCTTTAATCCTTGTAGGCCTTGTAATTGATGAAGCTACCCAAATATCCGAGAAGGTTAAAAGTACTTTATTTTTCAAAGCGGTAATTTGTCCGTGGCTCCTATTTGGTGGGATTTTAAGCAGCTTATATA